ATTCTTGTACTTAATTGGGCATAAGTGTGGCTTCCTAGCAACAGTCCCTATAAAGAAACTCAATGTACCACCCTCTTTAGAAACAACCTACAAATCTTTGTTGAATGTGAGCATAATGCATTCTTCTAGAGCCAGATTTCACACATCGACCATAAGGGTATTTCTTTGCGTGTTTCGCTTGGTCAATTCACCTATTACAAAACTATGGGAGCCGAATAAATGAGGTTATGTGGGGAACTCATAAACTGGCCCATTTGAGAAAGGGCCGTGTACAAATTGGCCCAAAACAGGCCCTCTGGTCCATACGTGAACCATAGCCGATTAAAAGGAGGGCCGAAGACAAATCGGCCCCTGCTAGGTCCATCTAAGAAGGACTGTAGCTGAATAAAACCAAGTACGAGGGTCATCAAAGCCATATATCCCATGGGATGTATAGCGGCCCAAAGATAGGGTTATGAGGCCCAGAAAGAGAAAGGGGGCCCATGGAGTTCTGGGCCCCTGGAGGGGCCCTGGAGAACATTATAAAAGTAGGAGCTTTAATCAAAGGAAAGGGGGAGTGATAACTTGTGAGAAAAGAAAAGATCAATGAACACACCATCTGGTTCGTAGAAGAGAGAGGAAGAAGGTCTGTATGGACCAAAGAGTATTTCTAAATCCATTTCACCACAATTAGCATCGTCCGTAGAAATACTGAAGCTCGTTCATGGCAGATAAAATAGAGGATCCTTCGCTCGTTGCGGACAATGTTACACCAAGATCCATGTTTGGTCCGAAGAATATCACCACAAGAAGAGCCCTGAACTTCGACCTAGTAGCTCAATCCTCACCTTCAACCTCGACGCAGGAAACCATGTAAACGATGATGGATCAAGCAAAGTGAAACAAACAACGTCTGGTAGATATGGCCGCTAATAACAAACGGTTACGTAAAGAGCTAGCCTTGGAGTTAGCCAAGTCTTAGTAGACCGCACCACATCACGACAAGGGCCGGTTGCCAAAAAAAAAGAAGGATAATCAATGGCGTCGACTTTGGAAACACGATAGCGGCAACACTTCGACTTATCATCTCAAGAGCCCAAGAAAAAGGGGCAAGTTGACATGTCCAGTTCATCTGAGGGAAGTCCGCATACGTGACATAGCCAAGGAAGATGAGATGATGGCTCAGATAAAAAGGACAAACATGATCCTTTCGTACGACGAATCGCAAGGGCCGTCTTGCCTAAAAAGTTTAAAGCACTGACGTTTACGTTGTATGATGGTAAATCAGACCCCTACGGATCACATTCGCCATTACAAGTAAGCAATGATATTGCACGCTAATAATGAAGCCCTTATATGCCGGATGTTTCCAAGCATCCTGGGACCGTTAGCTGCTAGATGGTATTATAAACTCGAATCGGCCTCAATGAAGAGTTTCCATCAGTTCCAAAAGTCCTTCCGGGCGAGATTTGTCACCAACGAGATCCAGCCCAAGCAAGTCAACTCGCTCTGGGCAATGCAAATCAAGCCAGAAGAAACCCTCTGTGAATACTCAGTGCGTCATTGGGAATGTTTCAACCTGGTTGACGATGTCTGAAATGATTCCACGGCCATCATTGCCTTTAAAATGGGTTCACACCCTGATAGTCCGCTCCGGAGCTCATTGACTTGACTGCCTCCCAAGACAATCTAGGCCTTAATAAAGAAGGTTGAGGAGTATTGCAAGGTGAAGGATGATGCCCACCACATCAAAGCTGGTCAGAAGGTCATGGAAATGGCGGCCCCTACCTTGGTACAACCGATAAGTGTTGCACCACCAGAAAGGAGCCCCAAGTCATGAGGCATGCCAAAATAAGAAAATTGTCGAGATTCACGCCGATCAAGAAAACAGTATTCAGGCCGATCGAGTGAGAAATATCAAGTAGAAAGTAGACGCCCCAGGCAATCCAACAAGAAGTATACTGAGTTGACCGAGCCGATTAGCAAGATCCTTCCTAAAGTACAGTATCTACCGTTCTTTTAGTGGCCAGCCAAGATGATTGGAGCCCCCGACACAAGATGGAGGCATCGGCGATGTGAATATCACAAGGACCATAGGCATGAAACCAACAGATACTATGCCTTGAAGGACCATCTTGAGGAGCTGGTGTAGGATGGCTGACTAGTTCAATACCTTCCCCACAAGGTCAACCCACCAAACACGGTTACCCTGCGCCTGAACTTACCTCCACTTGGTGTGATTCATATGATATATAGTCTTCCACTACCAAACAACATCTATACGATCCATCTACAACCCTGTCCGTCTAAGTCGTACACACCAGCCAAACGGCCTCATCAAACCAGCAAGATTAGCTTCGACGATACAGATCTTAAAGGGGTGATCCTTCTCCATGACAATGCCCTTTTCATCGAGTTATGCGTAAACAAATTTGTCGTCCAACGCGTTCTAATTGATTAAGGAAGCACGTCGGAGATAATGTACTACAAGACATTTCTTAAGCTCAACTTCAAAGATTCGAACCTACTGCCTGCAGAATACCCCTTATTCGGCTTAAACGCTAATGTCGAATACCCTCTGGGCAAGGTCACAGTTGCGGTGCATATAGGCACTAGAACACTTGACATGGAGTTTCTAGTCATTAAGCTTCCATCGTAGTACAACATAAGCATAGAGAGAATCTGGATGCACACAATGCAGGCCATACCAAGCACTTATCTCCAGCTACTCCGCTTCCTAACAACAAAGGATTACAAGGTTAAATGTTAGTAATCTAGAAATTCCCCAAAGAAATTTCATTATCCCAACTACAAGAATTGGACTCGGATTATTTAGTATGCCCACTCTTTTAATGCTTTGCAGACCTTACTTGGGATGCCTACAACAGTTATATACTGAATAGCACCAGTCGATGACCTGAAAAGAGACGGTAAAAATAAGAGCCAGTAAAAATAAGAACGCGCCCTTTACCTTCTCCAACCTTATCCATCATAAAAACCTAAAGTCTGAATATAACCGGTACATTCAAGGATTTCGAACAACCACTTGTGAAAGCCTTAATCTTCAATTAGGGAAGATGTCCCATCAATCCATACTTGAAGTTAACACATTATCATCTCATTATTATCCTAGTGATTGAAAACCCAATACCACCCCCCATTTAGTTTCCCATTGTGTTATATATTTTAAGTTAGGGGTTAGAACAAGCTATTGAACAATAATTTCTATACAAGTATGAGCATCATCAAAGTACCATGGTAAATAAATTTAGGCACAACAATGCAACTATCATACTAAGGCTCAAACAAGAGATAAGAAACACATTCATGAAGTTAAAAGTATGAAATCATCAACAAACATCAATTTCTAGATTAGATATACTTTAAAGATCACAATCTAAACGTCATTTTAAGATTTTTTCCGAACTCAGCCTTTCTATGGTTTGTAGAGAATTTTATCTAGTTTCTAGGTCATTTTTCAGAAATGGGATAGCTCTCTTAGATTTTTAGTTTTTAAAGAAATACTTCAGCTTTATCCAGATTTGTTGACTGTTACAAACATCGAATTTTCTCTTAAACCATTCACTTTTTTTCGATGAAATCATTTTTACTTGAAAGCTAACACTTTAAGGAATTTTTTGACATAAAAATGAAGTCAAGAGAATTTTTCTACATTTTCCTAGAATTTTTAAAAGTGGACTGAAAATACTGATCTTTTATGCACAAAACTTGAATTAAGAAGATTAATAGAAAAAAAGGGCAACCATGAGCAATTTTCCACTTATCTTATAATGAAAACATGCTATATAATATATAATTAACTCAGATTTTTAGATTGAAGGTTGCCTTTGGATATAATGTAACAAGTGGATAGAAAATGATAGCTTTCTTTCATTTTAACAGAAAACACAACTAAGAAAACAAGCCTCAACTTATTTTATTCAAACACAAGAACACCATGAATACATATCTAAAAATGATATTTAAAAACTCTTAGATCATGTATTTGAATGAGAAAATAAAAGAGAGGGTTATGTTGTGGCTTATTTGTTTGCCTAGAAGGTTTGTTTGTACAAGATTGTTCACTTTCTTCCTCCTCCTCTCAAAGCTCACACTTTTTCTTCTATTTCTCTCCCTCTAGCTGAAATTATGTGTCTATGTGTTTGATGTCCAAAAACGGTTGAGGGGGTTCTATTTATAAGAAAAATGGGGTAAAAGGTCCTAATTGCCCTTTGGCTAGAATTGAATAGAATGGACTTGTATTTAGTTGAATTGTAAAGAAATCAAGAGTGATTAAGAAGATTAAGTGTGATCTAGTTAGGATTAAAACTTACTTAGTTGGTTTAGAACTTGATTGAAAGGTAGGTACAAGACAAACATCCTTGATTTGGTGTCTTTGGTCAAAAGTCTTTCATGAATTCATGAAATTGGTTTCAAAAGTATTACACAAAATCTCCATGGCCATGTGCTTCAGTTGACTAGGATTTTTGATGGATTTTTCATTTTCTTTTAATATTCAAATTCATCTTAAAATAGTGTAGATATTTTGTGAAAAATATTATTATAATGGATTGTACACTACAAGAAATTAGTGATTTAGGGACTAATATTTAGAGACCAACTGAATTTAGTCTCTAAAAACCATCATTTAGAGACCAAAATAAATTTGAAGAGAAAATTATACAAACACCGTATATTCTTTTATGACAGTCTAAAAAAAATTATTTGAAGACTTTTAGGGACCAAAAAAGTTAAAGTTTATGTTGATTTGCGCACATGACCCCATGTGTGAGGTTGGCAAAAGCTAGAGACGAATTAATTTGGCTGCTAAAGGTCGTCAAATACGCGCTTCACTCGATCAATCCCTCCATCAGTTGTCAAATACGTGCATTCTTAAGCTGGATTCCTTCCTTCACTACAATCGGTCTCAGCTATTTCCTCTGTCTAGGACTCAATCAATCGATCTTCAGCTTCGATCGATCAATCGATCTTTGGGCTCAAAATAGTTAAGACTCAATCAATTGATCTTCAGCTTTGATCGATCTCAGCTAGGACGCAATCGATCTTCAGCTTCAATCCGAATCGATCTTTGTGCCGCCTCGTATCAGAATCGATCTTCACCTCATTTCTGAATCGATCTGAGTTCTTTGGCTTCAATCCGAAGGTAAATAGCGATTTGGTATGTTTTCAATCTCTTTCTCTCTGCACAGACACATCATTTATACATGTACATATCTATATATATACTCCTCTGTATTCATTCAAATTGCTTGAATTTGAAATTCTCTACTACTATTGCTTGAGTTTTTCATGGTAGTAATTCGTGAGATAAGATAGGGATATATGTTGCTTTGAAATTTGAATCTCATATTGAGATTACAGAGAGTATATTAAGTTGTTTAGGTTTATTTTGAATGTAGATCTTACTATAATTGAATTTAATATCAGTCATTTAATAAATTTTTTGTAAACATTTTATGATTGATTCTTCATTCTTAACATTGTTGTTATTTTTTAGGGCATCACTATTCAAATCTAAAAATTAGAACCAATTGTTGTAAAATTAGATATATAAAATTAGATTAAGGATCATCTCTTGTTAAATTTTTGTGTGTTCCTGTTTCATAACATTTACACCGTTGAATTATGTAAAAATTTAGGCATAGTCGAAAGATTGTGAACATTTTAAGACACAATGATAAAATAATTTGAGACTGAAAATCACATGTCACAAAATAAAATAAAATAAAAAATTAATAATATACATATCAATATGATAGGGTCCATTGGTTGCCTTCATGGTTTTGACAGATTGATGCTCATACTGGTAATGTTAGCGATCTTGCTTTCTCTCACCCAAACAAACAACTATGCGTTATAACTTGTGGGGAGGACAAGACTATTAAGGTTTGGGTTTATTGGGTATTTTCTTTCATGGAATGGTGAGACTGTGGACTGCAATCATAAAATCTCATGTCTGTAGGTCTGGGATGTTGCCACTGGTTCTAAGCAGTACACTTTCGAGGGTCATTAGTTACCTGTTTATTCTGTGTGCCCACATACTGAGGAAAACATTCAGGTATCCTTTTTGTTCAAGGCTTACTTTGTGACTTTCCATACAAGGGACCTTGACCGAAAAAAGGGCTACCCAAAGAGTTCAAAGTTAGAACTCCACAGTTCTTTTTTCTTTTTCTAATTTAGAATAACCCTTATTCATTTTTTATATTAATGAATTATTACTTCGTTTCAAATGTTTTGGAATTAGAAACTTTCTTGCAAGTTTGAACTATTTTACAATGCTATTCCAATTCGTTCTGTAACATCTGTTATCTATTTGAAAATATGAGGAATGTCACACTCAAATCCTCACTTTATGAGTGGTGTTCTACGCGGTCGTTAGACCTTTCCAATCTGTTTCTTATAATTAAGGATCTTTCTTTTTCTCTATTAGTTCATCTTTTTGACGGGTATTGATGGGAAGATTAAGGCATGGTTGTATGATAATTTGGGTTCAAGAGCTGATTATGATGCCCCAGGACATTCTTGCACAACAATGGCTTACAATGCTGATGGGACAATGTATATATAGGATAGGCTGTTAATTCACAAGAGGATCTGTGCTTCATTTGCATCTTTTCTGATCATGTTGAAAACTCTGTAGGTTGTTCTCATGTGGGACTAGCAAGGAAGGAGAATCATACATTGTAGAATGGAATGAAAGTGAAGGAGCTGTCAAACGGACATATCATGGTCTTGGGAAGCGGTCTGTTGGGGTGTGCAATTTGATACAACAAAAGACAGATTTCTGGCTGTTGGTGACGAGTTTGTAATCAAATTTTGGGACATGGATAATGTTAACCTCTTGACAACTACTGATGCAGAGGGTGGATTACCGGTAATAATCAAATTGCATCTCTTTTAGATTTGCTTCCCATCTTTCTGGAGAAATGTCTTGGTGTAAAGTAATAATCCTTGTATAAAAAACCTCTCAGGCTTCGCCTTGCATTCGGTTTAATATGGAAGGAACATTGTTGGCTGTCTCAACAAGTGAGAATGGTGTCAAGATTCTTGCAAATTCTGACGGTGTTAGGCTTCTGCGTTCCATTGAAAGTCGTGCACTTGATGCTTCTAGAATGGCTTCTGAGAGTGCTGCAAAAGTGAGTCTCTCATCAAATTTTCCTTGGCAACTTTGATATGTACATGCTCTTTTTAACATGCATTATGTATCATGCAGGCCCCCATAATTGGTACATTTTGTGCTTCCAATTCAGCTGTTGGAACAAATATTGGTGTTGCAGATAGAAATGCTCCAGCGATCCCTATGATTACACTGGTAAGCAAGGATACTTGTTAGGTGGACACTGGTGTGCTTCTTTCACAAAAGTTGCATGGTTTTCATTTTAATTATCCCATCTATGCTTTGTTATAGATGATTGGATGATGTCATATGCCCAAATGGTCATATGTGAGTACAATTCCTAATGCTTGGTTAGAGTTTTTCAAAAACTCTTTTCAGAAAATTCTACTTTCTTATTTTTTGTGTTTTTTTGTTTTTTCTGAATTTTTTTAAGATTTTAAGCAATTTTTTTTACTTTTTAGACATATCTAACGTAAATATACCTAAAAAGTAAAAAATTTGTGAAAGAAACCTTTTAAAAATTCACTAAATATCAAAAATATAAAAAAAAAATACGAGAATTCTGTACATATTTTGTATTTTTATGTATTTATTAATTTTTTAAAATATTTTTTCACAAATTTTTTACTTTTTAGATACATTTAAGTAAGGTGCATCTAAAAAAGTAAAAAAAAAAATGTTTAAAATCTTAAAAATATTTACTAAAAACAAAAAAACACGAAAACCAAAAAATTCAGTTTTTAAAAAACTTAATCCAAAAAACTCAAACCAAACTGCATCATATTCTACCCACTATTCATTGGGAGATTCATGATTTCAGCAGTGTACATAAGATAACATTTCGTGTTTTGGTGGTTGCTTTTTGTATCAGGGATCTAAGCCACAATGATCTTATGGGAAAGATTCCAGAATCCCATACCTCACTTCCATATTTGAAAACATCGTAAGTTCAATGATTAATTTGTTTTGGCATTATAAATAAACTGTCAAGATCCTATACAGGAGCCTTGTTCGGAAAAAAAGAAAAAGAAAAAGAGGTTTGTAAATAAAACTGTTTTGGCATTAATTTGTTTGTAAAAACTGGTTTGTAAAAAAAAAAGAGGTTTGCAAATAAGATCCTACACAGGAGGCCTTGTTTTGGCATTAATTTGTTTTGGCATTATAAATAAACTGTCACAATCTTCATATTTGGATACTTCTAGCACGGATTGTTGTGTTGCTGGTAGGTTTGTAAATATTTTAGTTTATATTCTTTTTTGGTTGGTTGTTTATTCTTTTCATCAAATTCATATGTTAGACATTGATGTGTTTTTTCTATGCGCCAACATTTTAGAAGTCTCCCTATGATGGAATCAGCCCTTGCAAACCCACATGAAGATATCGAAAAAGAGGCGATACCTATGTCAATTATGGGATGATAAGACGTACCAAGTAATTGTTGAACACACTTGTAATGCACTTGCACACACTTGGGCTGCTGATGATGCTACAGCTGCTGCTGTGGCGGATGCTGCTACTATGCATGTAGCTGCTGCTGTTACTAAGCATTTGGGCACATGAACTTGATTTCTTTTGAATATATTTTTACACTTCATGCAGGAGAAATGTCAGAAAAACAAGGAAAATTGGTTTGAGCTTAAAGTCCTCCATACAGCTGGCTCAAAGGCATTTAGAAAGGTGCAATACGATGAGGTAAACAACTGACCTTTAAATCATAGGGTCTACATGGCACTTTTTTTATTTCTTTTATTTGGTGATGTATGTACTCCGTAGGATACTAACTATAAAGGTTTTGATAGCGAGACAAGGATGGAAAGGAGCTTGGACTTGTTGATTTGTATCACAAGACACACTTTAGTCAGAAAAGGCAAGCATGGGTCCATAATGAAGCTGAAATTAGACATGTAAGAATTTTCTGATGTTAAATATAAGTATTTTCCTATTAATGATTACTCAACTAAGGCTCATGTGTTGTGAATCTTTAGCACTAAGAATGAACAATGTAAATGATTAGGACTAGATCATCCAAGGGGTTTTTGAGTTACAAGTGGCTACAAGATTATGTCCTTGCTGCCCTGGCTGTGTATTTGGTATTTGGCAATATAAAGAAGGCTACCTATTGGTTATGTGCTTAGATTATGATAACCTTATTGTGTTGATTCTAGGTGTCTCTCTTGTTGTGTTGATTCTTATTATAGCTCACTACTACTCCGAGTACACTGAGATAACGTGTTTTTTCATTATTTGTAACTTATTTGATTATGAATGACTATTGATTATTTAATGAGGTTATGTTGTGTTGATTCTTATTATTTGATTTTTCTTTTTGAATTTTGCATTGCAGGGATGTCCAAAGGGTGTCACACCTAAGTACAGCTTGAAGCCTCTTGTGCCAAGGCTGTCTGATATAAAGCCTGATATTGATGTTGAGAAATTGTTTTTTTAGAGATTCTCTTTGAAGAAACTATTGCTATTCTTCATTTAAACTGTTATTACTTTGATTTGAATTTGGAAACTTCCAGTTTTAATTTTTGTAAAATTTTACTGTCTATATACTCATTATGGTTTGAGAATAGAGTGCGTTTGATATGTGAATGTCAATTTTTTTTTTTAATATGATTGGATGACATTTAATTTTGTGCATTTTAAGCTATGAGATTAAATGATTACAAAATTTTAATTTTGATTTTTAGCGACGAAAATATGTTGTAGAGAAAGTTATATGTCTTTTAGCGACCAAATATCATTGTCGTTAAAAATGTCATTATTTTGTTTTTTGCGACCAAATTGGAACATTTTATGACGAAATATTAGCGACCAAATGTTTAGTCTTGTAAAATTAAACATTTTGTGACGATATAAAATTGGTCGCTAATTGTCATTTTTAGTGACATTTTCAAAACTTTGTCGCTAAAGACTTTTCTAGACGCACGTTTAGTGACTGTTTTAGTGACGGAATTAATTTTGTCACAAAAACTATTTAGAGACCAAAATAATAGTTTTAGGGACCAAAATAATTGGTCGCCAAAAGTCTTATATGTTGTAGTGGTACTTATATATATATATATAAAGAAATTATTTTGAGACTAATGTGCAATTTTAAGAAAGTGTGAGGGGATGCATATCTATTTCAAGTGTGAAATTAATTAAATTGGTGATAGGAAAAATAATTTAGTTTGAGTTGCTTTGTTACAAATTAAAAGGAGAATGGTTGAATAAAATCGATGGAAATCGAAAAGTTGGGTTTTGAGCGATCAATCTATAATTAGAGTGTTAAGTAATGAATATCAGAGTGTTTGAAATGGTTATTATGCTGTCGGGGGTTGAATACAATTTGTACAGTTCTGTTTGGAACGTGTTTTCCATTTTAGAGTTTAAAATGCAATTAAATAGATTTTAAAGGGTTCTATTAAAATAAACTCAATGTTAGGAATGAAAATTACATTCTTCACATACCTAAACTCTCATACTAGAATTTCTGGTTACGGCGAGCAGTGGCCTATATTGGTAGGAGTCAATATTTTGTAGTTTCCCTGAAAAGATTAGGTGGTGGCTTCGGTTCTGGTCATACGATCTTTTTTTGGCATTTTGTTTGATTAGAGAATTTTTCTATGAATTTTATAGATTTAGACCCTCACTCATTTCATACAGCACAGTGTGAACAAAACGAGAGAGCAAATTGTCAGGTGCACCGGATACCATTCGGGAGATCCCATAGTCTCCGATTCAAATTCCTAAAAATATCTCAACTCTTTATGTGTAATTTTTGAATTTTGTGCTCACTATCTTACAATTAAATAATCTTAACCTAGAGTAATAATAAAATTTTAAAAATTAACATTTTAAACATAGTAAAGTTATCTACCAGGATCGAAGCATCCAAAAGGCATGTGTACACAAACTAACTCGACCTAAGAATTTAAATAAGAAAGGGATTGCATTGAGATTAAATAAATAGTCAAGGGCATTATTTATATTAAATAAAAGTTTAAATTGACCATGTCTTTACAAAATTAATGCGATTATAGATAGTATTTATTTTTCTTTACAAAAGTTTATTTAGTCATTCCTCCATAGTTCAACAACCTTCAAACGTCATCATAGTGTACAACTGATTGAACAAAAGCTGCGAAGATTTACTACTATCTTCACCCAGAAAACAACTTGTTAACAAAACTTGTCTATATTGTACTAGAGAGCATGAAGTTTGACTTGAATCCCATGTTGTGGACGAACTGTTAAAACTTGGATTGGCGAGTGAGTATAGGTGGGGGATAGAGTGAAGGCGTAGCGTTGCAGAATCATTGACAAAGCAATTTTTGTTTCATTGATTGCAAAGTTCATGCCAACACAACTTCGTTGTCCGAAACCGAAAGGAAGATATACTCCTGGGTTGTTGTTGGTAGCTTTAGCGATTCCTTCTGAAAATCGTTCAGGCTTGAAAAGATACACATCATCTCCCCATATTTGGGGATCAAGATGAAGTGCCAATGTCAAAATAGTCACATTTATATTGGCTGGAAGAATGAGTTGTCCCAGTTTGACTTTCCGTTGAACTTTTCTTGTAATATTGATGATAGGAGGATATAGTCTTAGAGACTCATTAATGATCATGTTCATCTAAAAAAAAAAACGAATAGACAAGTCTAGTTAATATTGAATGGTATCGCTTTTTCATTGTATTTGTACAAAAGGAGATATAATTTGATTTTATGATCACTAGTGTTAGTGTACCTTTTTCATTTTTGGAATGCCTTCTGCATTTGGATATTGTTGGTCAAACAACTGAAGGACCTCCTTTCTTGCTTCCTCTTGCCCATCTGTATGAATTGCTAGAAGAAGAACAGACCATGCAAGCAAGGTGGTTGTAGTTTCATGTCCAGCAATGTAAAAGGTCTTGCACTCATCAACCACAGTTTCCACTGTAATTCTTTTATTCTCATCTGCATCATTACTTGCCTTGACAAGTAGTCCAAGAAGATCAGTCCCATAGTTGTCTAGTTCTACATTTTCTCTTTTCTTTATAATCTCTAAAATAGAATCTTGTATCCCTTGTTCAAGTTTTTCTGATTCTATATCAGCGCTACTTTTCCAAAATTGACTGGGCAAATGTGTAAATGATCAATCAACATTAGAATGGGAAAGACAATCCATGCTTCTTCTAGGGAAAATAATTGAGTACAATTAAATAGATCAACTAATTATAATTTGCAGCATCATTAGTATCATTTGTTAATATTGAGCTACCATTTCATGTATTAGTTTTCTGATTCTAGTTAATAATAGAATCTTGTATCCCTTGTTCAAGTTTTTCTGATTCTATATCATCTCTACTTTTCCAAAATTGACTGTGCAAATGTGTAAATGATCAATCAACATTAGAACGGGAAAGACAATCCATGCTTCTTCTAGGGAAAATAATTGAGTACAATTAAATAGATCAACTAATTATAATTTGCAGCATCATTAGTATCATTTGTTAATATTGAACTACCATTTCATGTATAAGTTTTCTTTTCAAGAAGGTGGATGATATGTTTTCCAATCCATCATGCATTGGCCTCAAATCTCTACTTCCATGAATTGGTAAACTTACTGGAATGGTAAAAAAGGAAGTATGTCACTTAATCATTTAAATTTGATTGTTGCCCTCAATTGAAAGAAAGGCTGAAGTTGGTGTAGATGTTTCCGAACGCCCCGGGAGGGTGAGTCCCGTTCTGTTCATATTGGGCTCACTACAGTTCGGACTCTCAAATTGTCACGGTTCTAAATCTGAACCAAAGAGTCCAAATCCGACAAATCGTTTTGAGAAAACAGATTTTGAAAGAAGTGCCAAACATGGACTGCTTTGCTAGATACAGAGTCGCCACCTAAATGTTTTATTTTGGGGAAATTTAGGAAACCCTGACTCGTTTGCCTAAGGCCACGTGTCCGTCATCACCAAAGTTGCCTCGGCTCGGGAACTTGGGTACGATTGGGGAAGGTCACTTCGTGAGTACCCCCGCTCGCTCAATCAAAGATCGGCCTCTACTAACCATGATATCTATTTTTGAAAACATTATGCGTTCTTATTCCGGTTATTAGCCTAGATTTACTATGTGATGCGCACAGCATACAAGTATAGACTGGGTCGCCTGAATTGGAACAAAATATTTCATGTTTGTTTATTTGAAAATGGTTTGATGGTGCTACCCGCAAGTAGGCTAAGACGTGGATTTGCCACCCTCGGGTGGGCTTAGAAAACATGATTTTGCCACTATCTAGTGGGCTTTAAAACTTCACAATTAATGAATTGTTCCAATTCAAATAACCCAACCTTCACCCACAGGCATTGAGGCAGTTATATCACATAAGCAATTAGCCTCATGGTAAGCATGCTATCATGGCAGTCACTCACACACATGCAAGGATGCTAAAGCATAAAACTTACCGAGTACTCCAAGCCAAAACAGAAGCTAATTAGAAATCCATGCATGATCCTAACTATACAGAAATGCTTAATGCAACACACGCAAAATGCAACTAAGATAGGCTCGACTATTCTAAAGATGGCATGTGAAATGCTACAACTAACAAGTATTCAACTCGGAATTGAAATACAAATGCAGTTAGTATGATGCACCGAGCCCGATACGTGCAAGACAGATGAATGAATGCAAACATGCTATCATACTGTATGCTAATTGAAACATGCCCTAATCTAACCATCATAAGCGGGTAAATAAAAGGGAGAAAGACGTGGGGTTGGAAGACATACATCACACACATGCACACTTATTACAGTTGTGCCCTCGCGCAGAGAGTCCAAAAGAATAATACAGTCCTAAATGAATAAATAATACAGTCCCGAATAAATACAAAATCCTAATTAATTAACACATTAATCTAGAAAAGCAATAAATTGCACGCAAATCCGTGGACCACCTCAGCTCTGTTCTGGATGATGAATGATGCATGCTTGAATTTGCCTTGCGCGGAAATCCCTTGCGATGCCCCGAATTGCCTCTGTTTGCAATTTTTCTTGGAATGCGTGCCAAGCTCCGGAAGGCTGCTGATTTCTGATTTGCTGCAACAGAGAGCAACGAAGGGGCATGGCAAAGTATTTTCACATATGTATGCATGACTACTCTTCGGGGAGTGTAGTCCTCGATCCTCGTGCCACCAATCACGCATCTCGATGCATGATGGCCGAGGAGTCGAATTGCATGACTCAATATGGAATGAATGCACATGAAAACACAACAGGGCCTAGACTCCATCATGGGTAATCCGGAGTGTCGGCGACCGGGAATTGAGATACGTTCCGTCACTCGGAGTACGAAACGTCCCTCGTTTCTCATGCTCGGGCTAACTCCTATCCCAAATACAATGCAATATGCATGACATGCATGAATGCAATCCTAACATGCAACCTAGCATACGCAATGCTATGAAATGGCACACACAATGCACGATGTAACGAGGCATACACAATGTTCTAACTACAGCGTAGCATACACAATGCTATGAAATGAAATGGCATACACAATGCATGATGGACTTACACCAACATGAGTGGACCTCAGCCACACTCACATCAGTAGGCATTAGGTAAAAATGGGACTATCGAAATGCGTGCACACATGCACGCAAACCAAGGACTGATCTTAGGCATAACATGCAACTCTAACAAGGCATGGCAAGGGATGCAAGATGGCATACAAACTCACAAATTCTAGCACTGAAATATGATGCTAAATAGCCCAGAAACATGGAAAAATGGCACCCGATGCATGAAATGAACCCCGAAACTCGAAACTAGGCACATGGAATGGCTTATAGCTATACAAAGTATGCATTATTTGATCATGAAGTCTAAAGACAGAGCCAAGGCAGTCCCAAAACATGAACATTTCTAGTTCAAAGCATGGCCAAAAGATAGCAAGATGGACTAAAGTAGCACGCAACTTTGACTAGCAAACATGAGTTATATGGCAGGTATAGGATGCACATGGAATCTTACCAAACCAGCAAAAATATGTGAAAATATGCCCAAATAACCATGGAGATGCAACTAATACATGCAAAAATGATGAGCTCCTTTAGAGGGCCATGCAATGGATCATTAAGCACATACAAGGTGGACACTTAGCATGGCATAAGAAACTATGAAAATCAAATATGGTAGTCTTAGAACTCGCCAAATTGACCCTGGAAAGTGACTTCAAAGCATGCAAGATAGGGTCTCTTTGGAAGGCCAAAAATGACCACCAAACAAGTCAAGGTGAGAGGGGGTCACCCCCCTCTGATTTGGAGGCTCAAAATAGTGTGCTAGCCACTGAAACTCCTCTAGATTTCAGTGGCTAGAATGCCAAACCAAGCATGCAACAAGAGCTTAGGTGTAAGGCTCAAAATAAGGGACAATCAAGCATACAAGGAAGCATATGACCTCAAAAAAGAAAATGCCCTTAATCAAAAATGAAGATAATGTCAAAAGGAGACTTTTTTCATTTTATAAAAAATCTCAAAAGTGAACACAAATAGGGCTAATCTATTGTGCAAAAATGGCCCTAAAAGAGAGATTAGAGACAAGGGACAGCAGCTGGCCCCAAATAGCAAAGAGCCCTTCAACAAAGTTGAAGATGGGCTCAAAACAAGGGACTTCACAGTTTATATCAAGTCTCGAAAATAAACACAAGTGAGGCAAAAACAACATGCAAGAAAAAGGCCTAAGAAAGGGATAAAGAGACAAGTGGTAGCAGATGGCCTCAAATAGAGGAGAGCCCTTCAAAAAAGTTGAATAGGGGCTCAAAATAAAGCACTTTACAGCTTGGCTCGAAGCCTAGAAATGCTTACAAACAGGGCTAACATATCATGCAAGAAATAGCCCTAAAAGAGAGATAAAGGGAAAGGGGTAGGAGAAGACCTCAAACAGTAAAAAGTCCTTGATCAAACATGAAGATGAGCTCCAAATATGACTATTTACAGTTCAGGTCAGAGTCCAAAAATACTTTCAAATAAGGCTAACCAATCATGCAAAATAAGGCAAGAAAAGGGAAAATAGGGACTCACCCTTGAAGAGAAGCTTTCCAATAGCTTTTGGTCCAAATTTCTGAGCTTTTAACCTTTGCAAATGGCCTCCAAGGTGCTGGAATGAGTAGTGGAGGTGTTGTGCTATGGGTTGTAGTGCAAATATGCAAGAAATATGGACTTTTAGCACCAAAAGAGAGAGATATATGGAGATGTATGTATATTTCAGCCCAAAAGCTTCTAACCCTTAATAATTGAGGTGGAGTGTGTTATATAGAGGGAGAGAGGCTAAGCTTATTTTGAAATCAAAAAATGAGGGGGAAAAACCAATTTGAATGGACCAAAATAAGAGGCAAAATCTCGGACAGTGGATCCAGTGGAAAATAGCTGGCACAGCTAGAATACACTCACAGGTGAAAGAATGGCCGGCCAGCTCAAAAGGGCCAAAGTGGTCAACCGACCAGGCAAGTGGTAGGCCGACCAGTATAAGTGGCCGGCCGACCAGGGGTCAAAAGGGTCAAGCCCTAAAACTGGCCGGCCATGTAGCCCTTGAAGTTAGCTTTCCAATGCAGCAAACCTTACATCAAAATTCCTCCTGTGGAAAAAGTTATGCCAGTTTCTGTGAAGCCGCGCAGATTCGGACCAACCGGATTGATCCCCTACTTCAACCAACCATATCTCTCCCGTCCGGACTTGGCTCTAGGAGATTCTTGAGTGAAAAATGAAACCCCGAAAGTAAGCTTTCCAACGGTGGTGGCCCCATATCTTAATTCCTCCTGTGCAAAGAGTTATGCCCATTTTGGTGAAGCCGCGCAGATGTTTTCCTCCTTCCCGGATTCATGTTGAATCACTTTCGACCAAAAAAAAGTTGGTTTTTCAGAAAAATTACTGGCCTCCCACTCTCCTACAACCTTTCTAACAATGAAAATAAGGTCTCCACCAAAAATGAACCAAGACGGATGCAAAACGGAGGTTCGGGGACCGAAACGCGCGGCCCGGGGCCCCGAAAATGGGCTGTTAAACACCGGAGGTGGTATTCGACCACGAAGTTGGTCTCTCGAGCTACAATGTCCCCCAAAAGGGAGTAAATAAGATGTGTGCCGAAAATCGGAGCAAACGGAGGTGGTTAGGTGGTCCCGAACCCAGGCACACGGCCGTCGGCTCCGAAAAACCGAAAATCGGGCTCCAAACGGGAAAAATGGCCTACGACCATGAAACGTAGCCTACGGCCACTGAGAGATGATCTACGAGACCTCTCCCTCCCTTCGGAAAGAGAAAACAGAGAAAACAGAGCTTAGTTCGCAAACCGAGGCAAGGCACGAAAGAGTCCGGAAGTCCGGAGGCAAGGCTCGCAGCCGAGACTTTGAAACTTCTGAACGAGCACAATATGCAAAATCATTGAGCGCTCAATCAGTGACGTCTGAGTCTTAAGGTCGGTCAAAAATGGGGTGTCTACAGTTGGTCACTGAAAAAAAAAAAAAAAAGTTTCTGATTTTGGAATTCTCTTCTTCTTCTTCTTCTTCTTCTTTTTTTCTTCTATTTTTTATTTCCTTTTTTTGTTTTGTCAAAAAAATTCTATTGTTAAAGATCTACATTTCATTGTAAGATTTTTCTGTTGTATTAGTTGGAAAGAAAAGAAGTAAAAGAAACTTCACAAAAATATTTCATAATACTTGATTTGTGAGTAATGTTATCGAAAATATATTTGGGTAATGGTTAATGTGATGCGTTAAATGTCACTGACTACATCATAGGAATGATCCCACCTTTATTTAGGAAGCACTGGCACTAATATCTTGTGGGCCCCATCAAATGATGCCAATAGTTCATGTACAACACATCCAAGTGAATTGAAATATAATCAATTAGGGTTGAAGTTAATAAGATTGAAATTTAACAAAAGAACTTACCTTTTTTTTTGAGCAGCAAGCAAAAATATATTCATTAAAACTCAAAAGTTACAAAAGCTTGGAAAGAAAATGCATCATTGTCCAAGCTATACATCCCAACTAGGTTGGCACCCATAGCAGAACTAATCATGTGCATGACCCAAGCCCCAAAAAGAGCTTACCTGATGACAAGAAGCCTAATTTTGAACACATTTCTAGAAGTTATGGTACCCAAGTGTGTCAGCATCTCAAGTATGTCTTTTCCTTCCAAATAACTACTCCCAAAAGTTGTTTTTGAAATCACTTCTGAGGTTAATACTCTAAACTCTTCAAATATCTCAATTTCTTTGCCTTCATATTGCTTCTATCTTTCTAACATCATCTCTACACATGACACCATTGCTGGAACCATATTCTATACAGTAGATAACACCATTTCTTGTGTATTATTAAGTCCATATTCAAAAAAATTAAAAATTATTCACAAATAATGATGCATTATGCAATCTTTATTGGAGAACTATCATAAAAATTAAATATAAGAAAATTAATTGTAAATTAATGAAGTGAATGTGACACCAATACACTTCATACAAGTCGAGCACGATTCATTATACACATACTTTCAATCCATTGATTTACATTTAACTAGTTTTCTACTCATACTATGTACGGATTGTGTTCGAATTGATTTTATAGAAATTTAGCTTTAACATATCATTTTGTGGTAAGGTAGTAAAAATCATAGTTAAACTAAATTTGAATATTATATTAGGCTAAGTTTGGCTAAACTAAAAAAATGCACTTATTTCATCTTTTTATCTTTTTTGGGTCACATCAATCAACATCTCCTCTCTACTTTTTCTACACATAATACAAGAAAAGTTAAAAAATACTCTTATTTAGTCTTCCCAAACTTGGCATTAGTAAGCAAAACAATTTTACACATACTTTCAATCCATTGATTTACATTTAACTAGTTTTCTACCCATACTATGTACGGATTGTGTTCGAATTGATTTTATAGAAATTTAGCTTTAACATATCATTTTGTGGTAAGGTAGTAAAAATCATAGTTAAACTAAATTTGAATATTATATTAGTAAGCAAAACAATTTTAATTTTCTATATAACTAGCATTGCATTTTGTGAGTAAATTTTTTTTTGACACTTTGATGTTACTCAAAGTTATTAAAATAAATTTTACAAATTAGATTTGATATTGTATCTAACTTGTAATCAGTTTAATAACTTTTTCAAATAAACATACAATTTCAGATGTCATAAAAAATTCCATACATTTATAAATTATCAATATTTTGGCCCTCCATTTTACTAATTTTATATGATAAAGATTATACAGGATATTTAGATTAAATTTTTATTTCATTTTTTTAGGTGTTTAAATTCTTTATTAATTTTGTGAAGCATACAAATGATAATGGTTATAAAAAATACTTTAAAATTCAACATATAATAAGATAATAGATAATGTCACATTTGTTTAATATATTACCTTTTCTAGAGTACTATAATATAAGTTTCACCAATGCTTCTTAAAATTGTAAATCAATTTTTCGTGTTGACCAAAAAATAAATAAATAAATAAACAATTCGATACACACCATGAGTATTATAACATATCTATGTAAATCAAATCGATCGCTACAAGTTTGTTAGAAAGAAAAGTGTTTAAAACCCACCAAAAAAATAAAAAATAAAAAAGGCTCCTACAATTGTACTCGCGTAATGATATGATATCATATATATTTATTAACCTTTGATTTATTACACAACTAATGATATAGTGCACAACTACCTTACTACATTATTGTAAATGGATTTGTGGATCTAAAAACAAAATTAAAATAAAATTAAAAAAAAAACGAGTAACTTTTAAAGAGAAATTATAACATTTTTTAATGAAAAGACCACAAAGAAAGAATATATGAAGAAACTAAAAAAATATAAAAAGTTTGAGAATTCAAAACAAAATCAAGAGGAAGTTATAATATTTTTTTTAACGAAGAGAATATGAAAAAAAGATCATAGACAGAAAAAGAACAGTCTTAAAGAAATAAAAGTCTCTCAATTATCAATTTACTTTAATTATTTAACAAAAAAAAAAAAAAAAAAAAAAAAAAAAAAAAGTAACTTTTAAAGAGAAGTTATAGCATTTTTTAACGAAAAGACCGCAAAGAAAGAATATATGAAGAAACTAAAAAATATAAAAAGTTTGAGAATTCAAAACAAAATCGAGAGGAAGTCATAATATTTTTTTTAACGAAGAGAATATGAAAAAAAGATCATAGACAGAAAAAGAACAGTCTTAAAGAAATAAAAGTCTCTCAATTATCAATGACACATGTCAATATTTAGATTAACATGTGGAGGCCTTTTAGAGCATTCTAATATAAAATTTTATTTTAGTTATATAATATATGATTTAATAATTTTTAATTTATTTGATATTTTCTTATTAGTATTTTTATGGTAATAATAATAATCACAAGATTAGTAGAAGTGTACCTTCAAACTCTCTGCATGGAGCGCATGGTTGGCCAATTTTTATAATTTTGATCATTTTTCACCTTCAGATGTTACAAGACTGCTACCTAATAACTTCTTCCAGTAGCCTTCTACTTCCATTCGTGGATAAGCTTTTTCTTTATTTTTAAGAATCTCTTTGGCAAACTCTGAATCTGTAATGGCTAACTGAGCTTTTGGACCATTCCACATAAGAAAAGTCTTTCCTGTTTCACCCCCAAAAATTAAATAAATAAATAAGCAAAAAACATTCATTTTGCAATGCATAACACTATCAACTAGATATTGAGATCGATTCATAACAATGGAAAGGCTATCACGTGCACCCCAAAAAATGATGTATATGACATGTATCTTATACAAAAAGTATAATTTCGTTCACAAAATATATAATTTTTATCACAAAAACTATTACTTTTTCTCGTCACAAAAAAATATAATTTTTTACTCTTTACAGAAAATAAAACTTTTATCACAAATAGCGTTACTTTAATTATTTATAACTTTGAACACTACAATTTCACAATTCATAATTTTCATTAAAAAAAGTGGTAAATTATAACTCAAAAATTATTACTTTTACATAATGCGCAAGTGGTAACATTTCCCGCATAATAGAACCAGTCCCTTCAACAGATTAATTATTTTTAAAATGTTGACTCCAAGGGCCAATGCAAACCAGTAAACCAACTATACTTGTGAACAAAAATATACTAAACTAATATTTTTTACAAGAATCTGTCAACAAATTAAACATAATTATTTTAAATCTAACACTTAAAAATAAAGTATCAAAAAAATATACTTTACACATAATTAGTTTAAGAAAGAGCTTGATGAGAACCAAGACCAAGTACAAACATACACTGCTTGAAACCAGGATGCCTATGGTTCCCACAACACCCATATTGGGGGTGTTTGTTTCAGCTTTTCAGAACTAACTTATGATTTTTGGGTTTAAAAAAGTTATTTTGGACTGTTTGGTTAAACTTATTTCAAACAGGTTCTGATTCTAACAGTTTATTTTAACTAAAAAAAGATGATTCTGAGAAGCTACTCACTCCTTGCTTCTGATTATCAGCTTCTGCTGTGACATGTTAATTTATGGTTATACTCTTAAATTTTTTTTATTTTTTATTTTTTTAAAAATAAAAAAAGACCTAAATGGACTATAGATTATTATTATTATTTTTTATGAGAAATATAGACAAACAAAAAATAAAAATTAATTAAAAAAATTATTTCACAGCTTATTTAACAAACACTACTCAACAACTTAAATCTATAATCTAACAGTTATAACAAACAAATTAATAACTTCTAATTAAAATTATAATTTATAATCTATTAAAATATAATTTATAAATTATTTTAACAATTACGCCAAACATGCCATTGCATCAGTAGGTAACAACAAAAAAAACAGCAGAAGGCAAAGTTTGAAGATAAAACGGGTTGTTTTACTTTATTTTTGTCTTTTTACAATTAAGAGCAGGTGGATAGGAATTTATAGGAAGTGATGGTAGGGGTATTCTTGAGAATCGCTGACCTCATGAATTTCGTCAGCGTCTAGAAAGCTGGTTGTTTTTGTTTTTTTCTGTCTCCTTGGTTGTTCACCACTCTGAAATGATAAGATACAAGTTTTTGGTGGCAACATAGTTAGAATAATTTAATTTATTGTAATATTTTACACTTATTTTTTTTATTGATGTAATTTATTTTTCTATTTTATACTGTGCTTTACATTAATAAATTTTTTTATTTTGCCGATAAAAAAAATAAAAATCAACCTCTAGAAAGCTCTCTACCAAATGTACACCATCAACATCTCCAGAAGAAGTCAATAGTCAAGATGGCTAATTACAATTTACAAGCCAATAGAACGGTCACGTTTTGGTGCCCGGAAATATTTGGATCAAATTTTGTTGAAAAATGCTAAAGGTTTCAAATTTTTTACCAAATAAATGATCAAATGTCTCACATGGGTGTGGGGCCTACAAAATTGCGGACCCCACACCCATGCGAGACATTTGGTCATTTGTATAACATTACCCAATTTTGTTAAGGTGCATATGGTATTGTCGCTGGTATTATGTTTTCGGAAGTTACCCAATTTTGTTAAGGTGCATATGGTATTGTCGCTGGTATTATGTTTTCGGAAGTTAGTTAGAAGTCACTTTTTATTTTTTAATTTATTTGGGATCATATTATATTTTTATTTTTTTACACTTCTTTTTAAAAAAAAAAAATTTAAGAAAAAAATTAAACAGACTAATTTTTAACTATCTTTCTAAAATAATTCTAAGTAAACGTACGTGCAATAAAAATTGAGAAAATAAAATACAAGTCCACTTTTTAGACTTAATGAGGTATCAAAAAGGTAATTGATTGATAATTTAAGAATATTTAATTATCAACTAATCATCTTCTTGACATATCACTGCATCTAAAAGTGTGTCTAATTATTAAACTAAATAGCCATGCTTTAAAAATTGTATCAATTTTTTAATATGTGCATGTATACATAAATGCTTTAAATAAATCAAATTACTCATGTTTGACTTGTGTTAAAATTTTGTTTCAAATCGACTTGTTCAGAAAAACTACAAGTTTTAATGTATTAAAATTAAGTTTGGACGATTTATTATATGACTCAATAAACTAAACGTATTATCAAATTTAAATAATAAAAAAAATACGATTAAAACTCATTTAAAAGAATCAAGAAAGTAAGTGAATTTCAACACACTTTGAAATTTATTTCTAAATTAACCTTAAACAATTGAGCAAGGATCCTCTAGAGTGATTTTTTTTAAAGTTTCCTAAAGTGCTACAGTGTATGGTTGAGATTTATTGGCAAGTCACATCAATTTTTCTGATGTGACTTGTCAGTAAATCTCAACCACACAATATAGCACTCTAAAGAAAGTTTAGGGAAATTTCACTCTAGAGGATCCTTGGTGTAAACAATTGGGAGAGACTACTATGTGCATCCCTAAGGATGTGTTTTGCTA